AAGTGGGGAGATCCACTTTAAATGTGGCCAGCAGCCCAGAAATAAAAACATGGGATAAGGAAACATGGGGTTTTGCTGCCTTCCCTCCTTCTAACCCCTCTCCTTCTTCTCTTTGTTCTTTTATTTTAATTCTATCCCACAGGGCCTTAATTTTTTCTCTTAATTACAATGTAATTACATAATTCTTTCCTTTTCTTACTCCAATCTCTCTCATACCACCCTTCAAATTGATGACTCTTTTTCTTTATTATTATTACACACACACACACGTGTGTGTGTGTGTGTGTGTGTGTGTGTGTGTGTGTGTGTGTGTGTATGTATGTATGTGTGTATACATAGAACCTGTTGAGTCTGGGTAGTGAGGTCTGTGTGTATGTGATTTCTGGGCTGACCACTTTGCATTGTATAACCAATATCTCTCAGGGGTCCTTCACTGGGAGAAACTAATTCTTCCTCTCTCGCAGACTTTAGTTATAAGGCAGTTACTCTGAATGTTCAGGTTTGTTTACGAAGTCATACAGTTCAGGTTTCATGGGTATAGCTTCCTTCCTTTTCTTTTCTGGGTGAAAAAATCATGCAACAGATTTCCTACTTCTCCGGCTCCTCTATTCTTTCTGCCCTTGCTCCCATCATGTTCACAGAGACTTAGGTGCAAAAGTTGTATTAGCTTCCTTCTTGCTAACAGGTTTATTTATTCTGTCTGCCATATTCCTTCAACACTATTAGGATCTGTTTCACTGGGGCTCAAATATAGACTGAAAATCAGCATCTCACCAGGAATTTTCCAGGCCTTAAAGACCTTATTGAGACTACTGAGATTTACAGTCTAGTCAGCTGAACAATTGCCATCCCCTTGGCTTCCTCATTACCTGCAGAACCTTGCTTCTAGACTCTCTAGCTTAGGAACTCTTAGAGTTTGAATGCCTGAAAAACCAACAGCACATTGACACATAACTTTAGATGGAGCGAGCATGCCTGCATTTACTGAAGCTGAAAGAAGCTTCTGATGAGTCTGGTAAAAACAGTTGGATTGTTAGGAGGTTGTTTTGAACAAGGAAAACAAAACAAACAAACAAGCACCTATGTTCTTCTTCCAGCCACTTCCTCACTATATTTTTATACTTTAAAGATTTTTTATTGATGTGGACAGTCCTAGCCCTCTATAAGTGGATCACACTCATCAGTCTGAGCAGGCCATGGAAAGCAAGGCAGTGAGCAGATTTCCTCCATAGTGTCTATGCCAGTTCTGCCTCCAGGTTTTGATTCCTAATATGAGTTCCTTCTCTGGTTTCCTGTGATGATGGACTGTGACATATGAGCTGAAAAAAACACTTTATTCCCCCCAATTGCTTTTGGTCAGTGTTTAACAACAGCAACAGAAAGGCAGACTAAGACAGATGCTTACTCTATGCTGTTTCCAGTAGTGTCTTGTCTTACCCAGGCCTGGTTGAGTCTCGTGACTTATTGTCATTGAAGTCTTTTCTGATGTTTACACTCAGGATTTTACAAATTTTAAACATTAGTTGTTGTAGGCTGCAATTTTTAAAAATTGATTTACTTTTCTTCTTAAAGGCACAGTAAATTGCTTATACATGGAAATTGTGTTTAAGATTTCTGCATTCACTCCCAGTATGTTAAGACAACATAGGTGATGTTCAGTAAATGTGTATTGGATTGGATTGTTTGTCTGTCTGGTATGTTACCAGGTGTTTTTTGCTTTCCTCTTCTGGCCTGATATCTCCTTTCTTGCTTAATTGCCATCAATACCAGCTCCTTTACTGATTCTGTAAAGACTGACATGGGTCTCAGGATATATATCTGGTGCACTGCTTGCTTTATTTTTCTTTCAAAAGCCTGTGCTGAAAAGAGCAGCAAAGCAGAAATCTTGGGGGGGGGGCGCTATGGTCTTGAGTGTTAAAGTTAGTATCTACAGAGCTGCATTCATGAGGCAGATGTAAGCAACACAGTAGTTTTGCCAGGACCCCAGGGCTAGAATACAGAACACAGAAGCAACACAAATCTTCAGATGTTTTTTATGAAACTGTGTCCAGGTGACAGTGAAGTTTCGTGACAGCTTAATCAATAACTATAGTGCAAAGTTTCCATAGAGTTCAGTTTATAAATCTGGATTGCATCATATAATATGAGAATACCAATTAGCTGAAGGGCTGGTCTTTAATAGTGCGGCCCCTCACTGTCTGCTTTTTGTTAGCACACAGCTGTTGGATGTAGGACTTCCCCTTGACTCAGTGGGATTAATGATTGTGTAATCTGCCTGGGCTCCCATAGGAGAACTGCAATCCCCAGCAGTTCACTGAGCTTTCGATTGTTATATGAGATGCTTGCCCCAGAGACTTCATACCCTCACTGGGAAGCATTTCAGGAGCTGCCTGGGGAATATGCCAGGTGAACACACAACAGAGACCCAGCTTTTTAGTGTCCCAGTGGTCCAAAACAGCCAAATATTAAAATGAAATGTTGGAACACATCTTTTTCTGCCCCAATTACAATCACAAAACTTTACCTGGGTTTATCACAATTCCTAATGTAAACTTGGATAATTTTTATTAACTTTTCTTAACTCTAGATATTTGGTTAAAAAGATTTAGCAGACATCCTCTTGTCTAGTGTGCAAAATATTCTAAGATATAAATGTTTTTCCTGAAATTCAATTTGTAATGTAAATTTAAGGATAAAAGATAGCAAACTGAAGTATCTCAACCATAGAAATCAAATTAACTTAAATTTTAAATGTTAGTTTAAAAGAAAACTCACAGTAAACAAAGGTTAACTCTCCATGCATAATGAAATGCAGGATTAAGAGGGGAAATTTGTTAATTCAAGCTAAAAATCTCCTTTCCTGTAACTTTAATGAATACTTTAGAGAAAAGTACTGAAGTCAAACTTTATCTGGAAAATTGCCTTGGCTATTACCAGGGGCTTCTATCAAATAAACAGTGGCAATATGACTTTCTCAAAGTTTATAATTGACATTTTAGTATTTGTCACAGACTATTAGATTTATAGACTTCCATTGCCAACCTCCTCTTAATTAAGACAGTCCTGGATAAAGGGATTAACAATTGCTTTTAAGCAAGGATGTGTCTCCTTTATAGTTATGAGTCACAAATGTGACTCAAACCACAGCAATGCTTAAGCAACATCAATTTAACCTTATATGGATTAATTTTTAAGAGATGTTTGACCTCCATTCCAAGCAGGTTTCAATTTCCATCCTCCTTTGCCTTCTGAGTGATGAGAATAGGGCACAGAAGTTTTGGAAGAGACTAGCATGCAAACTTCTGTATTTTACATTCCTTTACCAGCTGAGACTAATGAACAGAGTCAGTTTAGTGCATCCTGAGTCTACTTTTAGAATGGAGTCTACAGCATGTGGTTTATCTCCATGCACGCTTCCACTGATTGTGCTAAGGTTGCTTTAGTGCTGGACTATGTGGTCCTGAAGATTTGTTGTAAAGGAGTCATGGTTGGTTTGCAAGGTCCATTTCAGATGCTTATCATAGCCCTGATGGATCCCAATTAAGAGCAACATACCCTGGGTTAACTATGCTTTTTAAAATCTCTTCAGCTGGGCCAGATGGAGAGCAGAGGAATGAACCACATAAAGGTGACTAACTTGGAAAATGAATTGGTCCAAATTTGAAAATACATATAAGTATTTATTTCAATGTAAATGTTTAGATTAAGAACACTTTTGACAGTCTTCACATGGGTAATGTTTGTATTATTATCAATGACAGTAGCTATCTCTGCTATGCTTTATCTGTGTCCTGAATCTAAACAAACTAACATCTTATTGGAAATGGCATTATTGATATAAAATACAAAGATAATCAGTGATGGCTTACAGTGACCAACTGTGATGATCTCCTATGGATTGCTTTCAAAAAACGTTTTATTCTGTTTGTAATTTGAAGAGCAGAAATTCTGATTTACTTCCCTCAAAACATTTTATCCTCATAAGAGGACACAAAAGGTCTATGCCTGAATCAAACCACTGTAGTTCAGAAAGTAGAGGAGCCACACAGACTGAGTGCTGTGGCTGAGTCTGTGCTTCACTGAGGAGGATGCAGCTTTCTCAGTCCTGGTGTTGACTAGGGAGATGCACACTCACCTCTCTCCTCATTCCTTGCTCCACCCTCTCTGCTTCTGCATTCTCATTCTCCCTGACTTGCCCTTCCCTCACTTCCATTTCCTTCCTCTTCTTTTTTCTTATATCACCTTCTCTCCCTTCCCCTGCTTCATCTCTCCCCTCGTTTCTTCCATCTGTCTCTTCAGTCTTCCTTCCTTATTTCCTTCCATCTTTCACTCTCTCACTTCCTGCCTCCTCTTTTCCACCTTTTCTCCCCATCACCATCTTTTTTTAACCTTCTTTCCATTAGTTTAGCTCTCCCTACTTCTCTTCCTTCCATCCCTCTCTTTATTTTCTTTTCTGTTTTGCCCTTCTTCCCCTCTGCCTCTCTCCCTAACTCCCCTTCTCCATTCCCCTAACCCTGCTTTTTTCCCTTTTCCCCCCTTTCCCTTCTTCTCCCTCTCCCCCTTCTCAATTCCTCTCTCTTCTCTCCTTTCCCTGTCGTACCACTCCCTTCTTCTCATCTCCCCCTTCTCTCCCCGCACCCCCTTCCTTCTCTTTGCAGCTCAGGTTTAGCTCTTCACTCCACGCATCTCCTTTGACCTAAACAGATTATTGTAGCTGCATGAAGGGCAGTCATGACACAGGCAGCCAGTCTAGCCTTTCAAGGAAGGGATTTGTATCCAAATAGGACACTAAGCTTCTCAGCCTTCTGCCTTCTTACCTTGTCAGCAGGATGCCAGTCTCTGGGTGCTCCACAGACTCCTGGGGATCTGGATAGAAACAAAAGCTTGTGTCAGTCGCTGCAAATGTGGGAGTCTGTGCCATTAAAAAGGAGCAGTTGTTAATAAGGGCCCATGAGACCTGGGTTTCCTTGGTTTCCATGACAGTTATTAGGTACCATCGAAATTGAATTGTCTCCCGTGATGCTCTTAGGGGAGGGGGATGCATGAGTGACAAAGGAGTGCAGTTATGACTTGCAGTAAATCGTCCTTTGGAGAATGTAATACTTGTTTCTTACATATTTTTAAAAATCTCCTATCCGTGTGTTTGGCCACTGCTGCACAGTATCTCCAACACTATTTTCCTCTTTTTTATTTAGATCCAAGTTGGGAAAGCAAGGATATGAACAGTTCTGCAGGTGAGCTTCTCGGGGCGAGTGAAGCCATAAGGCGTCCAATCAGGGTTTGGCCACCTGCAGCCCTGCCAATATGCCCCTCCACCAGATTTCTGTAATCCCAGCCCGGGAGACTGCTAGCAATGGGAGAAGCTCAATGGGCAGAAACAAAGAGAAGAACAAGGAAGTCGAGGTAAGACATGGTTTGAAGCCACACAGCTAGCTCTGCTCTGCCTGTACAACCGGAGATGGCATGAACTGAAGAGCCCCTGGCTCCCAGCTGTGCATGTACTACTAGACTGAATTGTTTCTTGTGTGACTAAGGAGCTTAAAACTCTTAACTTCTGTTTTCTGAATGAAGCATCGAACCAAATCTACAGAGATACTTGGTGCTTGATAGATGTAAAACTTCTGCCTCATTTGCTGAAGTCACAGAATCTCTTTACTGATTCTTGAGGTCCTGGGTTGCTTACACGTACTATTGTACATTTTTGGAGAGGTCAATGTTAATTGTGTCTAGCTGGAGGGTTTGAAAATAACTTTCTTCACAAAGCAGCATATCTCCCTGGGCTAAGAAAAGTCTCACATCTACTGAACACTGAGTTAGTGCTTGGGGATTCATTGTTCGCCATTGCCTTTGCCTTGTATACGGGTTTTGACTTTGATTCCGGTTTGTTTGCATTTTATTTAAGAAAGTGTTGTTTAAAACTTAACATAGCTATAATATTCATTGTATTATATTCAGGCTTTATATTGGAGCAAAATTAGCAGCCATTCCTATAAGGTTAAACTGCATGAAAAGTCAGACACTGGGAACTTATGTAAAAGGGTTTTGAAAAAGAGACTGAGCAAAGCCAAGGGTATTACATGGAATTCTTATGGGTTCGATCATAATTGGAATTAAAGTAGAATGGCAAGTGGGAAGAAAATATGTTACAAAACTTTTGGAAGTTGGGAGGCTGAGGCTGGAAGTTCTAGAGTATAAGGTTAGCCTGAGCTGCAGGGAATGACACCGTCTAAAAAACAAATGAAAGGAAAAAAGCACACCAAAATCTGGAATATTCCATGTTGTTTAAAATACGTGTTTAATAATTCCCAGATATTATGCACATTTCCCACCTCCAGATCTGTAGCAGAATTGTGCTATTATTATTATTATTATTATTATTATTATTATTATTAATCTCTTCAAGGATAGCTCTATGAACAATGGAAATAACCCAAATATAGCAAAAAAGTAAATAAAATGATAGTAAAGTGTTAGGAATTTCCCAAGTGAAATAAAATAACTTTGACTATATCTTCAAATGCAAAGCGTATTTACAGTCTCTGCCTGTTTTATTTGACCTGGTTTTAAATGGGTCATGCAAAAGCAATGATTTCATCAGAACTTACAGAAAACTTCAGGAGTTCTCTGCCTAATGAAACTTCAAAGAGATATTCCTGAATGTTGGAATGGGAGGCACTTTTAGGATTTCAAATACATCTTTGTTTTCCATATAATGAAGTTAGAAGTTCCTATGAAAAAGAGTGTTTAACTTCTTGTTTAAATGTAGAGGCCACGAATTGTTTCATAGATGAACTAAGTAGCTTTAAAGGATCACAAATACAATTTAAGTGGGATAATTTAAGCCGCCTCCATCCTACATGTTAAAAAATAAAATTATTTATTACTACAGAATTACCTCTGTATGTTCAAGGCAGGTCCCCTGGAACATTTCCTGATTGTTGACAATTAAATATCATTTGGAATTCCCTGAGTGTTTTCTACTCACCTTAGAGTTATTCAAAGAATCCATATGCATATTTAACAACATATGATTTCAGAATTAGGGGTTTACTCCATTGTAACTCAACAAAGAATCCTAAAATCACTTAATATCTAATTTGATGTCAACATTTTGTTTCTTTATTTTATTTTTTGCTGTTGTTACTGATGCCTTGTTTTGTGGCAAAGAACAATAAAATGAATGTTGAAATATTTTATTAATGGTTACAGTTTAGAAGTTCTAGGTTATAAAAAGGAATGAACAGATTAAGTAAGATATTAAAAAATTCTAACCCCAGCTTCTATAATGAGTCTATATTTTAATGTATTTTACATGACACAAAGTTGCAACTTTTATCTGTTTGGTTAATACTGAAACTACAAAAGTAAGATAATATATGCCCAGTTTTAGTCTGGCCATTGTCAAGTGTGTGGGTGGATGTTTCCATCTTCCAGAAGCAGCAGTTTTAAGAGCCCTCTATAACTGAGCCTAGTAGGTTATTTTCAAAACTGAAAAGAAAAGAGGATTTGAAGTTGGGAAGGTGTGGAAGAAGAGATGAAGAAAGGGATTGAGGGTCAACTTTGTCAAAATGCATTGTATGAATATACAAATCCTCAAAGAATAAATAAAAAATGATAGTTTAAGGAAAGGACAGTGTCTCCCATTTGTAACCTAGATGCCTGACTTTCTTAGCAGAGCCAACGTTATGTTCTGACACTCAACATGACCACCACAGATCCTTCCTTCTGAAGTAAATACACTTGGATTATAAAATTATAGATTTAATATAACAGATGGGTGTGTAAAAATTAGTAGCAAAAGGCATGTGTATAAGCAACAGAACATTCTAAAATGGAAGCCAATAGTGTGACTCTCCTTAGTAGTATATATATATACATATAGTTATATATTATACATATATATAGTATATATTATACAAATATATATATATATATATATATATATACTAAAAATAGTCACACATTCTTATATAATTAATAAGAAATGGCTTGTTTGGGGATAATTCATTTATGCCTTAGGGAAACTAAGATCTTGGGGAAACCACGGGATAAGATGCCTTTCTGATGCACAGAATCACATTGGGTATGGTTTAGTTGATATTAGTGGTTGATGCTTTAAGTTTGCTTACGTTGTCAGTAAACAACTTCATTTCTACTAATCAATTCTTTCCTTCCAATACTAATGTTAGTTATTAAGGTTAATTATTACTACCAATGATTTTTTTAGAATTTAATATATAAGTACAATATATTTTCATCATACACAATTCCCCCCTTTCTCCAACTCCTAGTAAATCCTCCCAAAATTCCCTTCTACATTAATGCTGCCTTTTCTATAAGTATAATTAATACATATCAATAATATGTATCAGATAAAAAGATAGATAGATATTAGCATTGAAGGTATGTATGCACTCATGTGGGCTTTACTACTTACTTGGGCATGGTTAACCTATCAGGGCCCAACCCTAAAGAAACTGACTCTCTCTCTCAGAAGCCAAGTACCTGTAGTTCTTTTCATTAGGGTCAGGCTTTGTGACTCATGCTGTAGTCACATGACTCAGGCTTCTTGGATTCATGCTGGAATCAATATAGTCAGGCAACTATATTGGTAATAGATTATGGGTACAGAATCCATGTCATGTCCAGAATATAATATTTTATCAGTCCACTGATTCTTAACATCTTCCAAGCCCCTCTTAAATTTTAATTAACTAACATTATAAATCATAAATCTGGCTACTAGTGCACTCTTCTATTACAAGTATAGTGAATTTCATTAGTCAAGTGTTTAGCTGAAATTGACTTCTCTATATCTAGGAATTATAAGGATTATATAAACAATATTACTTGGCATGAAGCCAAGGTCTAGGACATTTTCTTTATAATTCATAGTCTCTGGAACTGGTTTCTCTAGGACACCACGTTTGAGACATGAATGCTCAGCATGGTCACACTGAGGCTACTGCAACCTGCGTTATTGGCTCCTTATGATTTATTCCCCTTAGCATAAGAATCAATAGGAAACTGCTAACTGGTGTCTTGTTAATGTTGATACATGTGTTGTGTAATCAAATAAAACATAAAGCTCCCAAGCTCTAACTAGTATTTGTTTTGTTAAAATTTAGGTAATATTGTAAAGGCAAGAAATGTACAATAAACTTTAGTAGTGAGGACCCTGGGATGATAGCTGGCTTCATCAAACAGAACCTTAAACATTGTTGTTCTAATGTTAAAACTACTGGTCAAGAAAAAGACCACTACCATATTTAAAGCAAGCTTTAATTAATACTGACTAGGATGATGAACTCTGGCCAGGTCCTTTCTTGAGTTCTCAGAAAAAGAAGACAAGTCATATTTGGAAGAGCTTTATAAAGGCAAACCCATAAGGCTATCGTATTTCCCATCAGGTTCAATCCTGGGCAGGTACATAGCCTAACATACTTGTTGTTTACAAACCTCCTGTTTCTTGTGCTCAAGCACATTCAATTAAGTCAAACAAACTTGTTTAGAGGAAGGAAAACATGTGATGTTTTATCATCCATAAATAATAGCCTCGAGCATTTCAGGAAGTACCTGTCCTTGGGCAAGGGGCTTGGAGGTTAAAGGGGGTTGTTTGTCTTATGAATATCTTAGTCTCAGTAATTAAAACGTAAAACAAAACATTGGCTCTCACATTCTTAAACTTAGCCTTTTTTGAAAACAAAATCAAAACAATAACAACAACAACAAAGTGTTTTGCTTCTTTTGAAAAGAAGTCTACAATTCTAATAGATGTGAATTTTAAAAAAGATTTTATTTTTTCCCTGCTATTATTCCTGTTACCATTCACAGGCCTGTTTTACTTGTCACATGACTAAGGGCAATTATTTGAGAGGTTAGGTAGCATAGACTTCATTATAGAAATAGCTGGGTAGCTACAGGAAGTCAGCCACTCATCTTGTTGCTCTAGGGGTGATTTATAAAGGAATTGAAGGGTCAAAGACTTGTGGGTGCCCTTCTCACAGTTGTTGGCTTGTGGCCAAATTGGGGAACATCTGTAGTTGGCTGTTTTTCACTATTTGAATCTTTTGGCTCCCAAATAAATCAGATGCAGAGGCTTATTGTTTATTATAAATGTCCAGCCTTACCTTAGCTTGTTTCTTAAATCATCCCCTCTATTTTTTTTGCCTCTGGGCTTTTACCTTTATCTATTTCTGTATATCTTTTCCTTCCTTCTTACTCTGTGTCTGGCTGTGTGCCTGAGTGGCTGGCCCCTTCTTATATTGCTCCTCCATCTCTGCTCCCAGATTTCTCCTCCTACTTAGTCTCTCTGCCTGCCAGCCCCACCTATCCTATCTCCTGCCCAGGTATTGGCTATTTAGCTCTTTATTAGGCCAACCAGGTGTTTTAGACAGGAAAAG